CTCAGGACTACAATGTCATTCTGGTTGTCAGCCAGTGAGTCAACCCCTGACCCATGGTGACCTCCCCCCGCCCCGTGCTCAAGGGAGCGATGCCCTGGCCAATCCTGTGCCCTCCCCGGGACCCATTGCAAATTGCACCATTGTGATCCATAGGGTTTTCACTGGCAGACTTTTGAAAGTAGATTGCCAGTCCTTTCTTCCTAGTCTGTCTAAGTCTGGAAGGCCTGCGGAAACCTGGTCAGCATTCTAGCATCACACCAGACTGCTGACAGATGGGAGGTGATTGAATATGAAGTGTATTGGCTGGGAATCAAACCTGGATCCCCCACATGGAAGGTGAGAATTCTACCGCTGACCCACCGCAGGCCTCAGTGTCATCATCTGAGGTGGAGTTGATGATTGCTTAGCCTGCTGGCACCGGTAAGGCCTCTCACGAGATTTGTTGTCTGAGCTCCAGCCTCCCTGAAAGAGGCCTGAGGGTCGGCTGGTTCTGGAAAACAATGGCAAACCAGTCTCAATCTTCTGGAAGCCATGTGTCTCTAGAAAGAAGAGTACTGGAAGCCAGCGCTGCAGGTTGAGGGTGACAGGTTGGGGGGAAGGGAGGCCAGAGCCTCTCTCCCTCCACAAGACAAACTAGACTAGGCTTTATGCTGCACCCCCCCCCCTCTGTGCTTGGCCTCCACAGATCCCAGAGATTCGCTGGCTCAGCCTCCTGGGAACTGGGCTTCACTGGCGTGGGTACAGGGGTGCTGAGGAAGGAGGACTGAGGACCTTTCACCCCAGGAACTCCTGGTTTGCTCATTTAATCTAAGAGCCTGTCCTTGCCCTGGACTGATGGAGACAGTGCTCTTTGGTTAGCTTGTCTGCAGGGGAGCTGCAGCTTCTTCTCTTGGGGTCTGCATCCACCCCCTCTTCTGTGAGCACTGCCTTCCTGTGCTGGCCCCTCACCCACTGGCTGCCTCCCCTGTGCCTTTCCCTCCCTTGCACGTTGCATGTGCAGCTCAGCATCTGAGTCCTGCTCAGGAAAAGACATTTTGTTGGACATCTCAGTCTCACTCTCCTGAACTTGAAGTCTGGTTAGAATGAGCACTGAGTTCATTAGTTTGACTCCCTATGGAGACCCTCCCCCCACAAGCTGCTTTAGCTCTTTCTTTATCTTGGTGTGAAATCTCTTGGTAAACTGAGTGGAGTTAGGGCCCAGGCCAGGCTGTAGACACCCACTTCAAATATCTGGGTCAAGAAACGGAGCCTCATTACGCATCTCACTCACTGAGCCCACCTCAGGCTGTCTGGGCCGGATCAGGAACCTAGTCATTTGATACATGATAGAACTTCTTTCAAAGGTAAATCTGTGTCATCAGCTCACCCCCTTTCAGTACTTAAAATGTAAACTAAAAAAAAAAAAATGTAAACTGTTCGCTATGAACTTGGAGGCAGCCCTGCACAGTCAGTTGGGGCCTGCCTCTCCCACCTCTTCTCAGACCACTGCTCTTCCTTGTCTCTTCTGACATTTCAATTGCTCAAGGTCATAGAGAGTTCTTGTGCCCCAGGGCCTTTGCACTTACTGTGCCCTGTGACAGAAATGCCCTCTCCCATCGTCCCCAAGCTGATTATGCCTCTGACCAAATGCCACTGCCTCCCTGTAGAGACCTAACAGCTAAGGGGTGCCTGGATTTTTCTGTGTAGTAGTCACTATGGATATTTGAAGGAAGGAAAACAAAGGTTGGTTGGTTTGGGCTCTTGTTCCACGAGAACAGGCCCCTTAGTTATCTTTCTCACCTGTATTCCCAGCACCCAGGCTTCGCCTCACATAATTTGGGCTTGTTACTAGGAGGGGCTATTCCTTGGAGGACATGATGCTGGGAAGGGTGGAGGGTCGGCGAAGGAGAGGAAGCCCCTCAACCAGCGGGTTGACACGGTGACTGCTGCAATGGGCTCTTGTGTGTCAGGAAGTATGAGGATGGTGCAGGACAGAACAGGGTTCAGATCTTTTGTTCCTAGGGTTGCTGTGAGTCATACTTGACTCGGCAACATCTAATAACACCAACAAGCACCATGCCAGGCACATAATAGGCGTTCAGGAGCATCTGTTAAATGAACAAGACCATCCTAGGCACAGGGCCAGGACAGGGCTTCCCTCCCCCTGTCGTCTATAAGCCTCCTGACATCTCCATTTACAAGCAGGGAAACTGAGGCCCCAGGCCCGTGGTGTCACTGGAAGCATGCAATTTAACAGCGGATCTGATTGTAAATACACTTTTAAGCTAACGTCTTCCTGCTGTCTTGGGCTTGTACCGATAACACATGCTATTTATGAAACAAAAAACTGGAAAGGAAGGAAATTACCAGGTGCTGCCACCTGGAACAGCCCGCAGTATGCAGGTCCCTCCTCCCAGTGCCTGCTCCTCCCCCCCTTCTGGCTGCGGCTGGTTTTTACTTAACTTATTTGTTTTTATGTTAAAATGTTATCATAGCGTTCCCATTGCTTGATGCTCATCACACAATCTCAATAAACACAGTTTATTTTAAAACTAACTGTGATGCAAACACACACAATAAAGCCTTCTCCAAGTCAACAGTTTCCACACGTCAGTGACGTTGATTGCATCCTTCCTGCTGATAGAGCCTTTGCCACCACATTATCCTACCGTTGCCGTAAACTCATTGCGCCTTAGAGGAGAGAATAGCTCCTCCCTTTCCCCAGCCTCCCACCCCTGGTCACCACTACTGGGCTTTGGTTTCTGCTTGCTCCCCCTCTAGGTGAGATCCTACAGCATTCGTCCTTTTGTAACTGGCTTATTGCCCCCGTGATTCTCAGGGATTGTCTGTCAAGACCTCATTTCTCTTGATGGATTGCGTTTCTCTTATCCATTGTATGCATATACCACGCATTGTTTAGTCATTTGTCTGCCGACAGACATTCCTGTTGTTGCCACCTTTTGTCTGCTGTGAAAAGTGCCACAGTGAACATTGGTGTAACACCCAGCCTTGAATGGATGTGGGCAGGCCAGCAGTGGGGACCTGGCATCTCCCAGCGCTTGGGCGTTGAGGTGGTTTCTCGTGTTATGTGTTTGAGGCGTCTGTCGCTGAATAGTGACAGCTAACTGTTGTCGATGAGGTTCCTCTGTCTATCCAGTCATTCCTTTTACCAGGCTGGGACCCACAATCAGGGAAACTGAGGTTCCCACACCACGCAGGTGCTGAGTGAGGGGCCTCAGTCTCCATCTCTGTCCTCAGAGTTCATCAGAGCTGAAAAAAAGTGATGTCAGTGCCACTGGGCTAGACGCGGGTGTCTCGCAGGAGGAGGGGCCGGTCACAGGTGGCTGGGGCAAGCTCCAGGGAAGAGGATTGTTGCCTTGAGACCAAGGCTTCAGAGATTTAAGAGCTGTTCCCAGGAGCACAGAGGGTGGTTCAGGTTGTGGAGGGGGACATCAGAGGGCTGAGCATGGCCACATGGATACCTTAGGCATCAGTGCAAGCCCACGCTTCCTGTGGCTCAGTGTTGAGGTGGGAGCCAGGGTGGAACGGGAACGCGAGGTGCTGAGTTCAAGAACTTGCGCTGTCTCCTGCAGTGCATGGGGAGTTTGGCTGTTTGTACCCTCTCTTACTCAAAAAAGAAGGTGCCTTTGGATGCTGTTTTGTTTTACAAGATCAAAATAGTCCATTACTGTTGCTGAGTACCGTGAAACGGATTCCAACTCACAGCGACCCCATGTGACCAAGTAGAGGGCTTACTTTGCTATAGTCCATATGAAAGCAGCTCTCCGTGTCGTTCTTCTGGGGAGCCACTGCATAGATTTGAACCACCAATCTTCAGGTTAGCAGCTGAATGCTTAAGTGTTTCCCCATCAAGGTTCCTTGAAGTATCTCTATAAACCATAAAAGAAAAAGAAAATGGCATGGAATGGCTTATCGCCAAAGGCCTTTACCCCGTCCCCATCCCCAGTCCTGCTTTCTAGGATAAAAACCCTTTTTGCCAGTTCTATTTTTAACCCACCTGGCACTTTCTTACAGCTCTAATTTGTTTCCTCTGCCGTGGCTTGATTTATAAACGCGCGCACGTTATCTGTTGACTCCCCTCCGTGAAAGACAAGGGTTTGGCTGACGCTCCCCACCGCCCTCCGCAGCAGGCCTGGTGGTCACCTTTATAACTTTAGAATCTGCAGAGGCCTCTCTTCCTGGTGCCTTTGGCCCTGGCTGTCCCTGACGTGAGCTGAGCTTATACAGCGTGTCTTTCCACACATGAGTGTTCCTCCACGTGACCTCCCTTTGTGGACAGTTGCTGTTGAGTTGGTCCATGATTCATGGTGACCCCTGACCCCGGACAACCTCAGTGGAAGGGAAAAAACTGCTCCTCAGTCCTGTGCCGTCCCTGTGGTCAGTCATGATTGCTGTGATCATAGGGTTGTCATTGACTGGTGGCAGATGGCCAGGCCTTTCTTCCTGCTGCATCTGGAAGTTCTGCTGAAATTTGTCTGGCATCATGATGGTATATAAGCTTCCGCTGATGGACAGGTGTGCATGAGGTGCATCTGCCATGAATCGAACACAGGTCTCCGGCCTGCAGGGTAGGAGCTCGGCTGCTGACCTCTCAGTGCACTGTCTGACATCACAGTAGTAGCTTGAAGTTGGCCCTGTTGGGAGTATTTACGTCATGGAATCTGGCAAACAGAATGGATCAGAAATAGTTTTGCCCCCCCCCCAAAAAAAACCAAACAAAAAACCAAAACCAAAACCAAAAAATCCCCAAACAAAGAAAAATATAGCTTTGTCCCTCCCTACCATCCTCAGAGCACCCCAGCACCCCACCATTAGACTTCGGGGTTTTTCCTCCCAGTCCTGAGTCCAGGCTGATACGGTGAGCCTTACTCTTGAAGACCAAGTCACTGCTGTCATAGGAGGAAGAAGGGGTGTCCAGAGTGGGTCTGGCACCCTCAGGCCTTTGGAGTCTGAGGCTCTGCTGGCAGGCTCAGCACTGAAACCCCTGTTTTGTGCCGCAGCAAAGCTTTGAGGCGCACCAGGACGAGGCAGTGAGCGTGACGCACATGGTGAAGGCGGGCAGTGGCGTCTGGATGGCCTTCTCCTCCGGCTCCTCCATCCGCCTCTTCCACACCGAGACCCTGGAGCACCTGCAGGAGATCAACATCGCCACCAGGACCACCTTCCTCCTGCCAGGTGAGCCCACCGGTCTGGCTGGGCACTGAGGCCAGAGAGCGAGGGGTGGACAGTCGGGGTGTGGGGGCGGAGGGACTGGTGGCTAGAGGTGGAGGGAGGGGACTTGAACATGGGGACCATCCAGACCACGGGGGCCGTGCCAGGCAGAACTCCCAAGTCTCATAGTAGCCTTTGTCAGAACTGAGCTTCAGGAGGGCGACATCCCTCCTCAGGTGTGGGGGGGTCAGCACTTCAAGGGTGTGAGGTTCCTCCCCAGGTGTGTGGGGCCAGCATTTAAGCAGTGTGAGGTTCTTCCCCAGATGTGGGGGTCAGCACTTCTGGGAGGCAAGGTCCCTCCTCAGTTGTGGGGGGGGGCAGCACTTCTGAGGAGTGAGGTCCCTCCCCAGGTGTGGGGGGCCAGCACTTCAGAGGGGCAAGGTCCCTTCTGAGGTGGGGGCAGCACTTCTAGGAGGTGAGGTTCCTCCCCAGGTGTGGGGGGAGCAGCCCTTCTTGAGGGTGAGATTCCTCCTCAGGTGTGGGGGCCAGCACTTCTGGAGAGTGAGGTCCTTCCCCAGGTGTGTGGGGGGGCAGCACTTCTGGAGAGTGAGGTCCCTCCCCAGGTGTGGGGGGCCACCACTTCTAGGGGGTGAGGTCCCTCCCCACGTGGGGGCACAGTATTTGGACCTAGAACTGTTCTTCCTGTTGTCCCCCATCCCCTCTCCTGCATCCACAGCGACTTGGGGCTCCCAGAAGTGAAGTTCCCCAGGTCATATGAGACCCCAGTCCCATGGCTTTCCTGGCCTTTACTATCGCGGTATTCATAATGACCGAAACTCCACCCACCCCAAATTCTCTTCAGATTGAGGTGAAGAAAGAAAAGTAAGGCTAGCTAAGGGTCTCTGTCCTTGGAGGTCTTTATGAGAAAGGAACATGCCCCTCCTTCTCGTGGCCACGGCAGTTGGGTGGCCCCCCTGTGCCGCCTCTGCCTGCCTGCTTGTGAGGAGGCGTGAAGAGGAATGATGAAGGATTAGGATGGTCACTCATCCAGTCTCACCGCTGTCTGAGTCCACTGTGGGCTTGTGGCAGATGCCACTTGTCCTCTGTTTCCCCAGACCCTGCCGAGCTGGCTTTGGAGCCGAGAACAGAACCCAGCAGGCCTCAGTTTACCCTGCTCCCCACTCCAGGCCAGACTCCACCCAAGAGACTGACCCTTGCACAGGAAGTCTGGGAGGACCCGGTTGTCCTGTCCAGGAATCAGGGCTGGATTCAGCAGCTGGGAGAACCGAGGGCTTTGGGGCCAGGGAACCAGCCAGGCTGGAGGCACAAGGCTGACTGTTACAAGGGCCCTGCAAATGGGCTGTGGCAGGGATGGAAGCAGCCATACGCTGGGCTGAGGCCTGAGCTGCCTGTCTTTGTGAGTCTGGACCAAGTACAGGCATAATATTCCATACTCCCGGGTTTTGAGAAGCCTCTGTATCACCCAGCCGTGAAACCTATGCTGCACCTGGGTGTGTCCTTTGCTGGGTTTTTGTTTGCATCTGGTCCTGAATTCATTGAGTCTCCTCAGAAACCTGACGGAGGGTTGCTGTGAGTCTAGACCAACTCAATTGTATTAATTTTTTGTTGTTGTTATTTTTGTTTTGTAGTGAGTTTTTAAGACCCTTGACCAAAGCAGGTGATGGTTACTAGCAAGACCAAAACCCATCACAATAGCCCTCTCCTGAGCCATCCTTTGAGCTAGACCCCAGGGTTTCATGAAGTACAGCGTCTCGCCGCCTCACCAGAGCCCCAGGAAGTGGAGAATATCCCTGTTTTACAGGTCCACAAACTGAGATTTGCTAGGCAGGGGTGCAGCTGGTCCCAGGGCATGAAGCAGGCTAGATGGAAACGTAGGAGTCACACTAGGTGGGCTGCATTTCAGAGTCCCACTGTGTGAATCTTGGAGAGAATGATTCAAGGTTGGTGGGACATGGGCTGGAACCCAGGCTCGACCACCTGCCTGCTGGTGATCTCAGGTGAGTCTCTGAGGTGAGGTGTGGGGTGGGAGAGCTGTGTGAGGAGGGCCCCTGACCAGGCCTGGGGCGTACGAGGTACAGGATGCGAGTGAAATGCCCACCTGCTAATGTGTTGTTTTTTTTTCTCCTTGAGAGGGGCAGACGTGAATGGAACCAGTGCGAAGGGCTTTTTCTTTTAATTTCTTTCCCAGCTTCAATTGCATTTTATTTTATAGTATTTAGCCATTATGCGCGTTAAATCCACTTCCACTACAATAAAAATCTTCTCTGTATCACAAAAATATTTCCACATTTATGCTGATAGCTAAATTATTTCAAGTTAGAGGAACAACAACAAAAACCAGATAATCTTCTGGGCCTTTTTAATCTCCTCAGCTCATGTCGTGAGGTCCCAGGGAAGCAAGAGAAGTAGCGAGTCTGTGGAGCGATCAAGGCAGGCCGCTCGCCCCCGGCCCCCAGCTGTAGGTAGAGAACAGAGAAGCAGCAGCCGTGGCTGTGGACACTGGCTTTGCTGTGTGTGTTTAAAACACATTTCACGTCCCTGAACTTGCTTGTTCTCTGCAGTTACCCTTTGAGGAAGGAAAGGCATTCGTTACTGTTAAGATTATTTTAGAGGCAGGTAAATTGAGGCCCAGGGAAGAAGAATGATTGGCCTGGAATCACCCTGTTGTCAAGGTCAGAGGCAGGACTCAGGGCACAGGCTCAAAGCACAGCCGTTGCATAATAAACCTGCTGCCCAGCTGTGGGCCATCCTTTCGCCTTCTTGGGCCTCAGTGTCTCCCTCTATATGACAAAACCAAAGCCTGGCCACATCTGTTGTCTTAGCATTGATGTCCACTCCTGGCGCCCCTTGTGTTACAAAGTACAATTGCTTCACAGGGTTTCATGATGGTCTCTTTACAGAGGGAGCTCTGGTGTTGCAGTTCACCTGACAGGGAGTTTCACTGCTAACACAGACAGCCTTTCTGGCGGTGTGACTCCGTCAGTGGCTCCTCAAGAGGAAGATGGGTGGGCAGTCTCCTCCCATGCAGTTTATAGCAACTCACCTGAAGGTCAACTGTGCACTGGTTCTGATTCTTAGCAGTGAGCCGAGTTAAATGGATTTTTTTTTTAGGGAAACAGATTGCCAGGGCTTTCTTGCATAACACTGGTGGGTGAGTTTGAACGGTCAACCTTTAGTGGCTCAGCAGAGACGGTTTGCTCCACCCAGGGACCTATCTGTAGGGTAGATAAGAAACTGTAGAGTGGACAGGCCCTGCTGGAATCCCAGGTCTGCTGCTTCCAGCTCTGGTGTCCTTCCCTTGCAAGATTGCTCTGTGTGTTCTGTGAAATGATGCCAGGACAGTGCCCATGGTCCCTGGCTCAGTCTGTGAAGGGGCCACATACCACTTTGCCATCTTCATCAGCCTCATCTTCACATCACACGAGCTGTGCCAGCCGTGCCTTTTCTGGGCACTCCTTGTTCAGTCCGTACAGTGGAATAGACAGAGGTGACTACTCAGCGACCCCTGACCCAGATCCTGCCCTGGCCAGTTCCTGCGAGCAGGGTTTTCCAAAAGCCCCAAGAGTTACTTCCCTTAATCCTGACCTTCCCTAAATAACAACGCTGAAGAGCTGGAGCCTGCAGGCTAGGCCTACCCAGGTCCCCCTAAATCTGAGCGGAACCCCTCTGGATCCAGTCCAGCTTAAACAGGATGTTGTTGTTGTTATGTGCCGTGGAGTCGTTTGCGACTCATAGCGACCAGGGGATATTCAGAGCGTGCAGGGCAGCCTCGCCCCACCTTGCATTGTGCCTTTACAGAACAACAAAGCAGAATTCTTCAATTCTTTATTAGAGATATTTTTAAAAGGCTTTTAAGTATTTTTTTTCCTTCACCAAATGAAATAATTGCATGATTAGTAATAAATTTGTTCCTCCTGTAAGTGTGGATTTTTTTTTAGGGCGTGTTAAAAATTTATCACGCTTCCTTCCCCCCGACCCCTCTCTTCCACTGGAGTTCCCAACTGGTATTAATGCATTTTTTTAAACCTAAACTCCCCCCTCCTTTTAACTAGACAGGTCATTAATAAAATGTTCTCCGAGAGCCTGAGCTTTTTAAAGTTGTATATCTCCAGATAGATGGCTTGGGTGAGGCGCGCACTGCTGCATTAAGTCTCTGTGATAAAATATTTATCCACCATTAGAATTTTTTTTTTCCTTTCGGACTGTTTGTGAAAGTGTCTCGCTCTTTTCCTCGGGGCGGAGGGGGTGGAGGAAGGACCCAAATGAGGCTTCCAGATGAAGTCATTTCTCAATTCCAGAACACTCGCTTGGTTTCTCACCCGCCTTCCTTCCATTTGCCAGTGCTTGGCCATGCGGTGGGGCTGAGAGGACACAGGGACAAGGGGAAATGGTCTCCTGCCGGTCTCAGGGCCCCCTGGGCCTTAGACAAGGACGTGAGAGGCACAGGAGGTGGAAAATCAGGCCCCGTTCCCTCTCCCAGCTTCAGTGTTTGTGTAGGTTTATGGCTCTGACGGAGCTGCTCCTCCCACATTACACCTCAGTCCTCGGTAGCCAGAGCCATTACCGTAATAGCCTCCGTTTATCGATTGCATGCACTGTCTAGGTGGAGAGCCGTGCTCAGCTTTGTGTACGTACAGATGTATCCACGTGTGTGGGCAGAGATACCTGTTTCTAATAATCACAAAACAGCAAGGCAGGTTTGTCCTACTCACTGATCAGTGGGAGAAAATGACTTGTCCAGATGCACACAGCTGATAAGTGACATCAGCACTCATGTCCTCTTCCCCCTCTCTCAACTCATTTATTTATTCGTTTGTTAATTCACAGTTAGGGGTTTCCCCAACCCATTTTGTTATTTATTCCAGCTAGAATGTCTATTTTTAAAATTCTGGTGAAATACAGAAAGAATCTCTGAGGGGCAGAGATCATTAAGCACTCAACTGCTAGCCAAAAGGTTGGCAGTTTGAGTCCACCCTGAGGTGCCTCAGGAGACAGGTGTGGGC